GATGCAAATAATTAATGCCTTGTGAATATTCTGTCCAGGCTTGATGATATGCCTGCAATAAACTAGATTCACCTTGGGCACGAACCTTTGTTAATAATTGGAAGACATGATTGTCTAGAAATCTTTTTGTCTCACAATATAATTGATCGGCAAGTGGTTCTGGATATGCCACACATAATGAATACACATCACTGAAATAAAAAAAGATATATATGCAAAAATATGCAATATTTTATATAATATGAAAATAATTGAAAATAATCAAAAGATATTATAAAGTACCTGAACCTATCATACCATGTTGCACGTGGAACATATGATAATGTTATTACACACTTTACAGTTTCTTGTAATGCTTCCCATGTTTGAGTAAAATCAACACGTTTAGGCTTTAGTGACATTCTTTTATAAGATCAACAGAATACTACAGACTTACAACACCAAAGAGTTAAGTATACAAATTCTATAATATAATTATCAAATCTGTAAACCTACAAAAAAAAACAATACCTTCAATTATAATCTTGCAATGATAGAAAAAATAATGTAAAATTTATACAATAGATAAATTCACATCTCAAATACAAGTTAAGGAATTAAAAAATATTAAAGCCAAGAACCTAAAATATATTCCAAAAATAATCTTAAAACTATAGACAAAGACTGAAATTATAAGTCCAAGTGTTTTGTATATCAGTGGTTTAAAAATAACAAAAGTAAAATACATCGCGGATACATATTTATTTCATGAACATCTTAAAATTTCTTTTATTCAATCTAGCAACATGCACAATGAAAAAATTATTTCTTAGAATACTATTCTAGAGCAAGTAGATCGAGTTGATCAGCACTTAAAATAGCGCTTGTACATTTATATGAAAAGATATAAACCATTCGTAAATCATCGTAAAATGTGAACCAAAAACAATCATTTTTTGTCGCGATTGCATCTTATTATATTTTATTTTGATTAAATTTAAATGATACGTTTCTTAAATATTGAACAAATTATAAGTTGCACGTGTAAACGCGTGTTACAAACTACAGCTGACTGCTAGTATCCAGATGGTTTTCATCGAAACCACTAACCAAAAATTCGTAGAAAGAGTGATCTGTATTCTTCAAAGTGCAATTGCCAATCAATTTTAATTCCTATCAAGATAAATTCTACGAAAACTCTTCTTTTCAGTAATTCGTAAATCATTCCCAGTTGCAAAATTCATGACATTTACAATGACTCGTCTTGATCGAACACATTTTTCTCTTTCTCTGTCTTTCCCTCTCTTTCTCTTTTTTTTGTTCGTTTTCCACCTTTCGTTTTCACTTTAACTATCACTTTTATAAAACGTTTATTTAAAAAAAGACTTCGAATTCACAAAAAATATAAACTTTTTTTCTATAATAAGTAACGAATTAAATGCGGATCATGAAACTGCCTCAAATTTCTCAATAACATTGCAAAGCCATGTTTTTCCCCTTTGCTCTTGACTTTCTAAGATTTTGGAGGGGATGATGGAATAGGCTATCTAGAAACTCTACTCTCAGTACAAAATATACTATGTTATTCTTACATAAATAATAAATTTTAATAGTATCTATACTATATTTACTTTATTTAAATAAATTGATTTTTTTCTATATTAAAAGTATTATATAAATATATTTGAATGCAAAATGATTCAAAAAGATTAGTAAAACTTCAAAATAATAAAAAATTCATCTTATTAATTTTTGTGCTCATTTTTTAACTATATAATATTAAAAAATTATATTATATTAAAAATAATAATATCTAAATAGAAATATTATATGTTATTTATTATTTTTACTTATAAGAAAAACATTAATATAATGTCTTCAGTTATATGAATTTATATTTACTATATATAAAAGAAGAAATCGAACTTCTATACATTATGTATTTCATGACTTACAACTTGCGTTTTGTAATATACTTTAAAGTGCGGTAGAATTTAATTGATATTGGTAAATTTTTCAAAACTCTTTAAAAATGGTAAATATTTATTATATTAAATAATAATTATTTTGTCATATTTCTACAAATATCTCAAATTTTAAAATGTAAAATTCAAATATTTTAAACAACAATATAAAGTGAAAAAGAGGTTATGTTACTGTCAAATACATTAATGACATTGCACGTTTTACAAATTATGTTAAAAAAATATAACTATTATTAATGAAAATTTTTTAATTATATATCAATGAATTTTTGAATTAATTAAAAGAAATTCAATTAAATAAAGTAAAATATTTTTATTAATTAATTCTTATAATTTTGATTGTTTGCAATTTTTTTAGAGTATTTTAGCTTATAATGGTGGAGCTATTATAGCAATGAAAGGCAAGAATTGTGTGGCAATAGCTGCTGATCGTAGATTTGGTATACAAGCACAAACCATAACATGTGATTTTCAAAAGATATTTGAAATGGGATCCCATTTATATCTTAGCCTTCCTGGTCTTGCTACTGATACTCAAACTGTAATGGAAAAATTAAGATTTAGATTAAATCTCTATGAACTTAAAGAAAATAGAAAAATACATCCTAAAGCATTTGCATCAATGGTGTCAAATTTATTATATGAAAGAAGATTTGGACCTTATTTTGTAGAACCTATCATTGCTGGATTAAATCCTAATACTTATGAACCATTTATTTGCAATATGGATTTAATAGGATGTATAAGTCCATCAAATGATTTTGTGGTTGGTGGAACATGTACTGAACAACTATATGGAATGTGTGAATCACTTTATGAACCAGATATGGAACCAGATGATCTTTTTGAAACAATTAGTCAGGCATTAGTAAATGCATGTGATAGAGATGCAATATCTGGTTGGGGTGCTATTGTTTATATAATGTTAGTTTGATCTTTATTTTTTCTTTATATGTATATATATACAGTATAGGATAATCATTTAATCATTAACTTTTAATTACAGAGAAAAAGATAAAATTACAGTCAAGACTCTTAAAACGCGAATGGATTAAAGTATTATACATATATGTTTATATTATACACCAATATAAAATATCTTATTAAGATATATATATTGTTTAAATAAATTAATGATTTTCAATAAACAAAATTTAAAATCTCATAAGCCTTATCAATTCTATTATATATTACATATAATTTTTTTATACCTAAATTCTACTTATATTTAAAATTATTCATTATACGTGTATTGATACATTGTTACATGGCGCCATGTTTTTCTATTAAATAGGTTATAGTTTCATTCGATCGATGTTTTGAATTTGATATATTATATTTTACGTATTATTTTAAGTACATTATTAAATGTACATGTATGTAAAAAATAATTACAATGGCTATTAACAAACTATGTGCAGCATTTCGACAAATAACTATAAACACAAAAAGTATGTAAATTATATTATTTCTAATTCGATATTAAACATAACCTAATATAATATATAATAATATAATTTTTAAATATTATTATAAAAAATATTATTATCGTTATTACTTATTGATATTACTATTTCAGGTAACATTATCGTAAAATATTATTCTTCATATTTATTAAAAGAATATAATAATATAATATCTCTTCCTAATTTTTCTACAAATACTTTAAATATAATATCTCCAAATATTAAATTTATACCAAAAACGCTTAATATAGATTTTAAAAACTCAAGAAATAATATTAAAAAAGATGAAATGCCTTTATCTAAATATATACCATCAATGGAAGAACCTTTAATAAACCAACCTATTAAACAGGATTTACCATTAATAGATATATCTTTCCAGCTTCCACCAACAGAAAATATCTTAGAAAAATTAGCTATACGTATGATAGTAATTAGAAAGAAAAAAATGAAAAAACACAAAAGAAGGAAACTGCGCAAAAGAATGAAGTTTAAATGGGCAAAGATTAGAGCAAATCGTAATGTATTGAAGGAAAAATTATTTCAAGCAGAATTAGTTGCTAAAATTAAACAGGCACAAAACTTTGATCCTAAGAAATATATTGAAGAAAGACTTGCTATTTTGGATAAAGAAATATTGCCCTTAACATATAGAGGTGAAATATTATCTCCAAATTTAATCAAGCAATTTATAGAAGAAAAAAAAGAATATGCAAGAAAAAAACGTAATAAAATACGTTTATCAAAATTACTTGATTAAGTAATATACATGTATATAACAAATAAATAATTAATAAATATATAGAAATAAATTATATTTTGATTTTTTTCATTATATTTTAATTTTCTTCATTATATACATATAAGTCTAAAAAAACATTTAAATATTTAAGAATTAAAAACTTATTTTTTCATAATAACAAAGTAGCAATTAAGATTAGAAAGGAAAAATTAAAAAATTCTGAGATACATAGTAAATATATTAAAAATGTTTAATTTATAGAGTAGTTTGCATTGTTGAAACGCGTACATTGTCAGACTATGATTTTTTTTACAAATATCACTTATAAGTCTAGTTAATTACATTTTATCTTTTTATCACATATATATATACATATTGTAATACTATAATAATAAATAGCACCTTTTTCGTTTTCTTATGTGCGTATTGAAATATCCGTAAAGTATATTTTTTTTTTCTTTACGAATATATTTGATCCTTTTATAAAAATATATCTATATTGCTACCATCTTATAAAAAAAAATATTATATTTAAATTACTTGAATATTTAATTAATAAATAGATATCATTGAAAATTGTATTACTTATAAATAAGAAATAAAATATCTGTGATAATTGTAATCTTTATATAATTTAATAGATTTTTGGAATTTTAATCATGTTATCATCTCCAATATCCTAAAATAAGTATAGAATACTATTGTTTCATTTTTTTTTCTTAAATTAAATTAGAAAGTTAAATCTTTAATAATAATATGATTTAATTTTGATTAATAATAAAACTTAGCCATGTAATTTTTTATCTTTGTTTGATGGAAGACGACAAATTATTAATTTACGTCTATTAAAATATTATTTATATAAATAATTCAAGGCAAAATCTGACCCTTTTTCACTTGTAACACCTTTGGTTTATGATTATCTATATTTCTAGTTCTTAAATTATTGTTTCTACCGGAAAAGTAATCTTCTATTTCTTGAAGTGTTTTATCTTTAGTTTCGGGAAGACATAAATAAAAATATATCGTTCCAAATAAAGATATACAACCATAGAAAATAAAAGTACCATGCGTAGTAAGTATACTAGTTAAATATGGATATGTTTTAACTACTGTAAAGATAAAAGAATGGGCTGCCATTGTGGTTAAACCACCAATAATACCACGTACTTGCACTGGATATACTTCGCCTATCATTATCCAAGGAATAACAAGGAAACCAAGAGTGCAAGCAATAGTATATGAAAATATACATAAAACAGGTATCCAAGTAGCAACAAATGGAAGATTATTTGCAGTCCAATAGCTTTTTAACCATATATATCCACCTAATCCTACCATGGAAAGTCCACAGCCGACGGACGAAATCATTGTGAGAGGTCTTCGTCCACTCTTTCTACATAGGATACAAGCAGCAATAGTTGATACTAATCTTATAATCCCGAGAATTACTGCAGCTAAGTACTTGTTTATTGTTGCGCCTGAATCATTAAAAATTTCAACGGCATAAAAGGTTATTACATTTGTACCTGACCATTGATAGATTAAAAAGTATAAAAACAATAGAGCGAAAGGTTTAATGGCATTCGGTTTTAAAAGAGCTCTAATTATCTCTCCAAATCCTTTCGGACGCTTAACATCGCGCTCATTCGAAAAATTAATAAGTGTTTCCATTTCCTGATTAATATTATACGTACTACCACGAACTTGTTGTAACGCCTCTCGTGCCTTTTCAGGTCTACTACGAGATATAAGATACGAAGGTGTTTCAGGGAAGAAAAACATTAACAAAAGAGCGGCAAGAGGTAAAATTCCACTAATAGCTGCACAGACGTTCCACGTAAGTACGCTTCCCAAAAAATATTCGATCATAACACCAGTGCTGACTCCAATACTTGCAAAAGCGGTCAACATTCCCCGTAGATGAGGTTGAGTCACTTCTCCTGTATAAACACGCGCTGGAGCACCCACCATGCCTGATCCAAGTCCTACAAAGAATCTTCCAGCATATATCATACGAATGTCGGTCGCACATGCAATTAATATCCATCCAAGCAATGCTGGAATCTCCGTGATAATAAGAGATCGTTTTCTTCCAAGTACGTCCATCATATATCCAGATATTAAACATCCAATAGGAGTTCCAATAGAAGACATACTAGCTACAAGGAAAATATAATTTATTATCATCGTGATCATGACAGAGTCTTATATGTTTTAAATAATATTAATTTACCAATCCATGATTCCTCGGATGATCCTTTGCCAATAGGAATGCTACTATTTGGTTCTTGTAGTTGTGGGACAGCAATGGCAGAAAAACCAAAAGCCATACCAGTGTTCAGAGTTCCAAGTTGTGCCACTACCGCTGCCAGAACCTGTCTGACAGCACTTCCATGAACAGAATGACCATTTTCTGGATTAGTGTTTGCACTATGTCCTGCCAGTACAGGTTTTCCATCTTCTAAATTTAAATCTTTCCTGCAACAAAATAATTAATCTTTTGTCAATATTCAAATTATTAAAGATTTTGACATGTAATGAGAGATCATGCAAAATTTACGTGGTAATATAGACTAAAAAATTTTAATTTATTTGTATCGCAAAAATCAAATATGTGGTGATATGCACACGCATTATTCTATATGATATAAGACAACTGAAAACACAAAGCAATGTTTTGTATTCTCTCTGGTTATTTATCTACGGACTATGAGATAATTATTTTTATCCGATACAGATAAGGGATGAGAGAGACGACATGTAAATATTTACTTGAAAATCATTTTTTTTTAAATAAAATTCATAGATAGAAATAATATTTGTTTTAACATTTATTTTTTCTGCATTAATGAATCCTTATTATCACATGCGAGATACATGTGTAATAGTAATATTCGAGAAAACTTGAAAATTTGGCACTGATTTTATGTGTTACGAAAATAAAGTTTGACCTAAAATCCCATTTTTCAAATAGAAATCGATTTATTAATTATTTGTACAAACATTTTGTAATTTAACAATAAAAATAGGATAATTTGATACACTTCTTTCGAGATTAATATTATTTAAATATATAGTTATTACATATATTAGTTATTATTTAATTATTATTATTTAAAATGAAAGTAATATGTTTAAAAGAAAACAAACATAATATAAAATGATTTCAAATAACGAATATTTGATAATGAAATATGATCGTTTAATGATTCAAAAGCGATATTAAAATTTTTTGCGGTCCATGAACTAAGACGTAGGTCGATGTAATTATGACCATTAAATCGAAAGAATGACAGAATTAACAAAGAGAAGTTCGTAACGCTACAAGTTCGTAACGGCACGCGCTGATACAGTTAAGAAAGAATGAATCTTCTTTGTTTATACATTTTTAGAAAATTGAAAAAAGATAATAATTGTAGGAAGCATGTTTGAAATAGATTATGAATAAACATGAACGCGATGTTCGATAAACGAGTTAATTTTAAAAAAAATGAAGAATGTTTAGAAAAATAAAATATGCTAGTATCTTCGTCGAGTATACGTCGAGTATAGATCGAGTATATATATAAATTTTAAAACTGCAAAGATTCTGCAAATTTTTCCTTTTGTTATCGATCGAAATTGCATTTTTTATCTGACTGCAGCTGTTAAATATCTTTCATATTAATGAAAGCATTGATAAGAATATTTATTTATCGCAGACTTATAGATTCTGCTAAAAATTTGTATTTATGCAAAATATTAAAATAAATTATAATATTTTTACACGTTAGATTAAGTATATATTTATTCAATTTTGCAAATAAATTAATATTTTCGAAAAAAAAAATATTTAACAATAATACTGAAATTGTTATAGATAAAATATAACTTGAAGACGTTATCTAAAACTATTGGAAATATATATTGATTTTTAATTTAACGACGTAAAAAATGAGAATTATTTTACTGCGTATTAAATTTTGCATGTAAATTATTTTTTTGTCCCACAATTTTTTTAAAGCAACATCAAACATTTATTGAAATGATATGTATATTTATTGAAAATAGGCATCATTTATCAAACATAGTAAACTCGGTTCCAGTAAATGTGAATAGTGAAATGATAAATACATAGAAATGATAAATATCGCTAATGAGATTGCTTTCACATGCAGATTTGTTATTAATAAAACACAGTTGGATAGAATGTTTGCTATCTACTCGGGCATAATCTGCATGTTTATTTTTGCAAAGACCGACTATGAAACAGTGTAATAAATATAATGTGTGTAGAAATGTACCAAGAATACTTTTTTACGATTCAACATCCTTAACCTGTATTGTTGAGATTTGCAACGAATCAGAAATAACCGCGCGTAAGAAAAGAACGATAAAAATTACAGAAAGAAAAAAAGAGTTTAAACACATCGTCGAATTCGATTTTAATTTTTACCATCGATCTATGTATTTTTTTCATAAAAAAAAAAATAATAATAATAATGAATAAAATACACATAAAATACATGTTTACATATCTTGTATAAAATTTTTAAAGATAAACATCAAAATTTAAAACGTTTCTCTCGCCGTTCACTTAGTCGAAGAACTCGCGAATTTTGGCACACTCGGATGAAATTATTTCTGTCCATGCTTTACACGAAAGGGTTCAAGTGTACAATGTGTACGCCATTCGAGCACACATCGAACAATTGTCCCTGATCGATGAGTAATAATAGTTTAGTTGCATCATGTGTTTTCATCCATGGAAAACAATAAGGGAGTAACGCACCACAACTGGAAACTGTATTTGTGTTAGAATATAATTAAGATTGTGATTAGGGGTATACTATTTATAAATGAAGATAATTAATATGAATAGAATGGTTGCATTTTTAATAATACAATGTTACACAATGTTGAAGTTTTCAATAATTACACGAATTATTAGTATTTATTGAACATTTGCTGCAATTAATCAGTTGCCTCTGATTTGCATTTCATTTATATTTATCGAGATACAAATAAGATGTATATTTATTACTTATTATTATATTTATATTATTATATTTATTATTTATCTTAATTATAAGATATTTTAAAATTGTTTATGTGCTTGATCCTTGAAAATGATGAGAGAAATATATAGCGTTTATTTTTTTGTATCGAGATTCAAATCTTGAATATACGTTAAAAGTATTCATACGATAAGATTATCGATCAAGCTGTTGAATTGGTGTCGTTAAATATTTTCTAGATTGAACGGTCATAAGGTATAAACAAATTTTGCAAAGAATATTCGAAAATTAGCTAGTTCTTATTGTAATCTTATCTTAGATACGTAATAAATTAAGATTTACGACCGATGACACGAAACGAACACAAACGAGATTAAAAACATTGATCTGATAATTAAAAAACGTATTGTTAAAAAAATGTTTTAATTACAATAATAAAAGGAATATTGTTGAAAGACTATTTCTTTGATGCGAAACATGTATCGAACTTTAATCGTCATCTTTAATCGTTATTCATTAATGACATTACTTGACAGCGCATATTAATAAGTTAATCATGTTACAATGGTAAATAGGCTCAATTGTTATCTATTCGTAGCGTGTCGAGCACGAAAATTCTGCTGCTTGAATTCAATCAGAAAATTATTGAGTGTGATTCATAGAGATAATTATTAATCTACCAAAAATGGATATTTACACGATGCATTCGAGAATTTAATTCATGTGGATTATGCTATTAAAGAAATGAAATTTCATCATTTATCAATTGTTTTAACAATTGTGTCGACGGGTTAAAAATATAAAAATTAAAATTTGCGAAAATTATAAAATGAAATTCAATTTCAAAAGTGGAATTATTATTTTAATTTCAGAATTTGTAATAAAAATTACAGTTGATGAATTATGATTATAAATAATTTTATTTTTATGTTAATTACAGTAATTATATCAATGTAAAAAAAAAAAAAAAGAGTAAGAATCATATAAATGATTGATTCAATGAAACGACTAACTTTGACTAAATTCAACCGAATTTATAATTGATTTTATAATTGATTTTATCAATAAAAATCAATGAAAAAAAATAATTATTATAATTATTATAAAATACAGTAGATGAAAAGAAACAATTATTTGAAAATAATGATTATTTCTTATCAAAATAAAGTGTTCATCTTTTGTATGATACTTCGTGATCATAATATCAGGAGAAAAGGAAGTACAATAAGAAATAGAAAACAAATATGGCACAGTACAATACATATATGTAAAGTATGTATAATGTAAATATACTTACTTTAGTGTTAGTGCCATAGTGTTCGTTTTATGAATCTTTTGCTGCCGTTTTTCCAAAACGAGACAGTATTAAAATAAAATAAAATATTTATAATGTTATATCACAGTTTCTATTTTAATCACAATTATATATTTATTATGAGAAAAAATTTGCACATCATTGCCTTTTTTCCTTTTTCTTTTCTTTCTTCCTCTTTTTGTTTTCTTGTCGTCTTTGTTTTTCTTTTTGATCTCCGTCTTTCTTTCTTTCTTTCTTTCTCAAGATCACTTGTATTCGTTACCCCTAACGAAGTCTCACAAGATCACGTAATGTTTTTGGGAATAGCTTTCGTTCTCTCAAGAAACTCTTGAAATTCCAATTATATACCCTATTTTGTAGAATCCCATTTGTATTTTTTTCCATGGACAATACATATACACTGAACGTTTTAATTGTTTCCTTGTTTTCTTATTCTTTTTTTATCATGAATTTTTTTTAGAAAAATTCTTTGACGAAAATTAGGATTAGATGAAGAAAGATAGTCACAATGAATACAAATAAAAAAAATAAAATTTTTGTGTATAAAGACTGAAGCAATGAAAAATAAATTAATTCTATGTACGTTTACTCTTTGGACGACGCGCGCGAAGCGAATGTACTCACGATAATCGCCGGTAAAGCTTTATATAAGCAAAAGTAATCGACGTTTCGATTGGTCGAATCCCTTCTGACCTGCGCAGTAGAAAGACGCGCGAATTTTGTCCGCTCGCGCATGCGTTCTTCAAATAGCTTGTGCGCACTCACGAAAAAGCCTCGAAAAAGTGAAATTCAATCCAATTTATCTCGTAATGAAAAAAAGTCATTAAAAAAAAAATAATTTTATATATGGATCAATTACAACCTATTAAATAAGTAAAATTAACTGAATTAAATTTACTAGAGAAGAAATATCGGAAAAAATATTCTAAAATATTTAGGAATATGTGTATCGAAGAGAAAATATAATTTAAAAAATATACTTCAGGAAAAATTGTTGAATAAAGAAATACTTGAAAGAATTCTATCAGTATTTTAATTATAATTACAAATTTTACTTAATAACAATATGGAAATTAAACGTGAAATTTCAATTTGCTAAAAGCAACATGTTAATATTGACTGAGTATAAAAAGGATTGACAACGTACGTGTATATGAAATAAGAAAAAAAAAGATATGTTAAATTTCGTATAGGAAAAGTTACAAGTATAAATCTTAATTTTTTTCTAAATTAGGAGTACATGTAAAGCACAATCACATTCGAATCGATAAGAACAATCACGAGGATTTGATCATTTGTTTATCTGAAAAAAATAGGAGCGTATCGCTAGATGGTTGTACAACTCGTGACTGAATCTGTCACGATTGTTGTTCGTGAATTCCAATATTGATGTTTTTTTATATATAACTAAATGTGCGAAATGAGATAACGAATAAGCAAAAATTCTATTTTGTCACGTTTTTATAAAATTGCTCTTATCGTGAGATAAAATTTTTTTAATAGAAGGTCGAGAAACAATATTTAACTATCAAGTTTTAAAAAACAAAGTTTAAATTTTGAGAATCATTAAAAAATTACAAGAATAAGAACAATTTTAATGATAAAAGATAGGATGAACAAAATAAAAAATATTTTTGAATAAAATTTTAATGTATTTCAAATTTTTTTCCTATAATACATCATTATATTCGTTTTGATTTTTTTTTTTTTTCTTATTTGTATATGATGACGATTCGTATATCGTATATACACTACACTATAAAATAAATAATAAAATCAGACATAGAAAGATAACCTCAATGAATAATCCGTATTATGCAAATATTCTAATCGCTAAGTATGACGTTTTCATAAACAGACAAATAATCATATTATTAATACTTCTAATTTTTTCTTTACAAATAATTATGCGTATAACGAATATTCTAACTACACATTAACAATTCAAAATTCAACATCTTTTTCTCGATATCTTTTAAATTCATTCCTTCAAATCACAATTCCATTATTATAAATTAATCAAAATATCAAAATGTCCGATAAAATCGATTGCATTGATGAAATTTTGATAATTCGTTTACGAAATTGTTATTACATAAATCACAATATAACGAAAAATATTTTTATTAATATATGTTTTACAAATTCGTGTTTTTAGTTCAAATTAAATCAACATATTTAATTATGGTTATTAAAATTTCATCAAACTCGATTAATTCAACATATTCAAAATAAATATAGCGTTTATTCCGGCAAATGTTAATTACAAAGATACTCATCGATCATTACAAATTTTTCCACTGGTTATTTTCGAGAAAGATAGTAGAACATATGTAATTAAACGAGCCCCTGAACTTTACAACGCGTTATCGATCAACTCACCTGGTAGGCGCGGAAAATGGCCGATTAGATCATGGCCGACTAAATACAAGGTTG